TTTAGAAGTCCTTGAGGATCGATACTTGGATACTCCATCCATTTTATATTACTCTGACAGGTGTGCGCTTGCATCTATATAATTGTTACCACGCTTAGTGCGTGCGTTCAGCATAAACGCCCAGTCAGTTTACTAAATTTTCTAATGCTCTTCTATCTATGGGATTCTTTCAATCTAAGGCTGATTCTTCACTGTTTATCCGAGGCAGTGGTTCTTCTTTTGTGGCCCTCTTGGTTTATGTGGATGATATAATAATAACCGGAGCTTCACTTGCTATTGTTGATAAGTTAAAGTCTCTTCTTCATCAACATTTTCAACTTAAGGATTTAAGATCTTTAAAGTTTTTTCTTGGACTTGAATTGGCACGGACTTCTACTGGGATTTTTCTTTCCCAACGTCACTACACTTTGTCTTTGTTGGAAGATGCAGGGTTGCTTGGTTGCCGACCAGTTTCTGTCCCTATGGATCTTACTCTTAAGTTGCAAGCTATCGCAGATGGTGATCTCATTGCTGATCCTGCTTTATATAGAAAGTTTGTTGGTAAGCTTTTGTATCTCACTATCTCGCGTCCTGACATTACATTTGCATTCCACAAACTCAGCCAATTTGTCTCTTGTCCAGGCAAAGAGCATCTTGCAGCAGTCCATCATCTTTTGCGTTATTTGAAGAAGACCCTTGGACGTGGCATTTTGCTTTCTGCCTCTAATTCTTTCCAGCTCAAAGCTTTTTCAGATGAAGATTGGGGATCCTGTGTTGACACTCGGAAGTCTATCACTTTTCTGGGTGATTCTATGGTTTCGTGGAAAGCTAAGAAGCAATCCACCATCTCTCAGTCTTCAGCAGAAGCAGAGTATCGTGCCTTAGCAGCCACCACCTGTGAAATCATTTGATTGATCAATCTTTTGACTGAGTTGCAGGTTTCGTTTGTGCCTCCCGCTCTCCTTTTCTGTGATAATAATGTAGCCATTCATATTGCCTCTAAATCAAGTTTTCATGAGGGTACAAAGCACATAGATCTCGACTGCCATTTTGTTCGAGAAAAGCTCTTTGATGGCTCCATTCGACTGCTACTATAAGGTCTTCTCTGCAGTTAGTTGATGCTTTCACCAAGCCGTTGTCTGCTACTGTGCTTGAAAATTTTATGTCCAAGATGGGATTGATTGATATTTTTGCCCCATCTTGAGGAGGAGTATTAGACTCTAACTATAGTTAGTTAGTTAGTTTCCTATTATGGTTGGTTATTTTGTATAGTTAAGTTGTGTATATAAAGGACTTTGTATCCTTCTTTGATTTAATGAGAATATATTAGTACATTATTCTCTCACGTGTCTAATAGTTGGTTAAATTTGATAGGGTTATGTTGGTGGATGCTTTTGCCTTTCTCAGTGTTAGTAAGGTTGACAGAAGCAAAATTGATGGAAATAGTAGTGGCAAACTTTTTGAACTTGAAGAAAATCTTGTCTTTGTTCAAAAGACAGAAGTTGAAATTGAATTTCACTCCAAGTCATATGTTCATTTCGTATAAGACATACAATAGGAAATATTCTTCATCCCATCCACCAATTACATAAGAGATGAAAGAACACATATCCATGGGATAGCTTGCCAACTAAAATATCATGAAACTTTTACACAGTTGATAGATGTTCACCCATTTTAGTAGTACCCTTCCGAGTTTGTGGAAGCATTTGTCGATTTAAATCCTCTTGGGATCAAGATTGGACTCCAAAATATTCTTGGATTGTAGTCCACAGTTGTTTCGCTTCGTCATGACCCATTACTTGGGCAGCTACTTACGGTGTCATGAAATTGTACAACCAACCGACAAGGAGTTGGTCCACGACCATCCAGATATCAGCTTCAAGATTGGGCAGCAAGAGGCCATTTGGTCCATCCTTTGATGGTGGGATGATGATTGATTGTTCTGGGCATGGTGTATTTCCAATGGCCTTTGAGCTTGTAACTTCAAAGGATTAGCAATACAATGTTATGCCAGATAGAAGTTCCCTCTATCAAGTTTGGAGAGAGAAATGTTTGGGATGAAAAGACTAAACAATAAGTTGAGAAATAAGAATCCACCTAACCTTACCTACTTACGTACCTAAAGCAATTAAAGAGGAATGACCAACAAGACTTAAACCTACTATCCGCGAAAAAAGAAACAAGAAATAGTAGTTTGATTATATCTTGACACACAAGACGTTCATCACTGTAACTTGAAAAATGGACCAAAGTTGGTGGGAACTTCTTTGAAAGAAAATGAAGGGAAAACCTTAGAAAAAAAATTGAAATAATTCTAAGAGAATGTTTGTATTTGACTTACCTCAAGGCTCTTATTTCTGCTTATGGTAAATATTTTAATATCTCATATATTAAAATGGTATATTATTTGACTCTCATTCAAATAAATGTTTATTAGTATATCTTATATATTAATAAAATATTATTTTTCTTTTAAATGTATCAAATAATTAATTCATTATTCTCTTTATTATTTAATATAATTTGAACATTTCAAATTCAATTTTCTTTTTATATAATTTATCCATTAATGTTTTTTGAGCTAGCAAAGTAACCTCATGCACCTACAATGTATAAGTTTCAAGAGTACAAAATTAGTTAATTGAATTCATTATTTATTTAATTTTTCATTCATTAACCCAAGGTTACTCCACTATAAACACGAAGTTGCACTCATATACATCGACGGACATGTTATATCCTTAGATATAATCACTACAGACAAGTCGACCATTTAGAGTTGTTCATAATTACAGCTGGGTCAAAAATCTGTTTTACCACTATAATTAAATCTTATGTCTCACGTATCACTAATTCTCTAGTGAACAATCTTTTTATGATCAAATCATAAACTAAGTCCCTCTCAACCCAGTGAGAGTGTGAGACCCCATTGTTATTAAGTTCTAAAATCTCAGCACTTTAGTGAGCTACTAATCATTTACTTGAAGGGATCGAATCCCAAGCGGAAGCAATTGATCGCTTGTGATTCAACTTGAATAAGAAATTATACGATACCGATTTTCAATAACATAACATTTCTATTAAAAACGAGGTTAAGCCTCATGGGAGGAAGAAAATGACTTACGTTTGTAGACCGTTGACAAAACTTCTTCCTCGAACCCGACTTTTTGTTTGACAAGAGCGAATGTTTCGTGATCGAACACCACCACGAAGTTACCTTACTATATCTCTAAATTATGAACCATATTATAAAATCTTGGTTCTTTGAAAGGAAACCAATGGGAATTGTGATCGTGAGAGAGGTTTATGTTGTTTTATGTTTTTGGAGAAAATCCAAAACCATCAACTAGAAAAACACAGACTTTCTGTGTTTATGAAGGAGGGAGGAGAGGGAGGAGTGGGAGTAACCTCTCACCCCCACCTCACCACATGCCAGCAGATTAATTAATTAAATTAAGGAGATTTGTAATGGATAGCATATAAGTTTTCTRTATTTAACAAAATAGCATGTCTTTTTTATATTTTCAGATATAACATTTTTTGAAAATCCTGTTTTAAAATTTTAAGTATTCCCAAATTACCCTTTTCAGTTAGCGCGTAAACTTTCCCAATTTCTTTTCGTTATTATATTCCCAAATTACCCTTATCAGGAGTATATCTAATAACATTAGTATATCAGAAGTAAATCAATAGTATATCAGAAGTCAATCAGTTCTATATCAGTTGTATAATAGTAAATCACTATTTTACCTGCTTTAACCATTTGTTTTGTATTTTTTTTATCAATTAGAAATCAGTAGGTATTGGCATGCATGGAAAATGAGAAAAAAATTTGATACTTACTGAAAATGAGAAAGAAGAAGGGAAGAAGATGAATGAGCAATCAATTAGAAATCAGTAGGTATTTACGTGAATGTGAACATTAATGGTGATTTTCGAAATTACTGTGAATGAGAAATCGTAGGGAAGAAGATGAATGAGCAATCAATTAGAAATCATAGGTAAATAGAAACTTAGGGTTTTTCTGTATATCAATAATATATTAGTGATATATCAAGTATACATCGTACATATATCAGTAATATAATTAAGTTTTATTTAAAGTTTTAAAGATCAAAACGAAATCAGCAACAATGTCATTCTTAAAAGATTTAAACATCATTCTTGGTATCAACATCAACATCAAATCAGCAGCAAAGTCTTTCAACCAAAAACTTAAAGGTTTAAATATCAAAACGAACCAGTAGTATAAACCAAAAGTAGACTAATAATGTCATTCTTAAAATTCTATAAAAGAAGAAGCATAAGTTCCAGAAGCATAAGTTCCAATAGTCTAGAAAAGCGTAAGTTTCATTCTTGTATAATCTTTAGGTAAAAGCTTGGGAGGACATCAATCTTCGTTCTTGGTGATTGTCAAGTCTTCAAAGATAATATCTTTGAAGCTTTCCGTTTTTTCCATAGACAACACTTTTGGCGATGATTTAAGTTGTCTTTTGGGACGAATGACATCAACATTTTCGACAATGCTTTTTTATTTCATTTTTCGTGTTTGTACCATTGCTTTTATCTGGAAAAAAAAATTATTTCATGTATTAGTAGTATATCATAAAACATATTAGAGGTAATATATGTTCGAAATAATTGGTAGGTATCATAGTTATATCAGAAGTAAATCAATTTCATATCATATTTATATTAAACATATATCACATATATATCAAGAGTATATCTATCAATCATAGTTATATCAGAAGCCAATCAGTTCTATATCACCTATAGTAGTAGATATCATAGTTATATCAGAAGTCAATCAATTTCATATCAGATGTATATGAAACATATATCACATATATATCAAGAGTATATTTGTCAATCATAGTTATATCATAAGTAAATCAATAGTATATCAGAAGTCAATCAATTTTATGTCAGCTATAGTAGTAGATATCATAGTTATATCATAAGTAAATCAATTTCATACCATATGTATATCAAACATATATCACATATATATCAGGAGTATATCTGTCAATCATTAGTATATCAGAAGTATATCAGAAGTAATTTATTATTGGTAGCCTGCAGGGTATACTTGTAATTTAGAACGTGGACCTCTGTTTTTTTGCAAAAAAAATGCTATATTTGAAAAACTCAAATCATGTTTCTATTTTGCTTATTTTCTTAACTTTTTTTTTTGACATATCTCAAGTTGCCCCTTAAATTAATTAATTTAATTAATTAATCAAATAAATAAATAAATATAATTAATTAATTAATTAATTAATTTAATTATAATTAATTTAATTTAATAATCTATATTTAATTAAATTAAAACTATCTTAATTTAATTAATAATTAATTAAATCTAAATAAACATAATTTAATTAAATCAATTAATATTTGAATCATATTCAAATATACATTTCCCTCCTAACCTATAGTATTTAATATGAATCCAATTCACATTAAATTTTAACATATAGTTTTAAAATGAATTCAATTCATATTATTCTCTCATTTATATAGTTTTATAATGTATCATGATACATTATATTAAATTGTGTCATACACAATTAACTCAAATTCCCTTTAATTAAATTTGAACAATTCAAATTTCTTCCAAGACTTAATGTTCTTAATTACCCTTTACGAGCTAGCAAGGGGATCTAATGGACCTATAGATCAGAAGCTTCGACGTTACGAGATTAATTGGTTAAACTCATTAACCACCTTAATCAACATACGTTAACTACGGGTTACTCCACTAAAAACCCGGAGCTGAACTCTTCTCGCTATAGAATATTTCTGTGTCCACGGATATCGACTATTAACGGCAAGTCAATCATTCACGAGTGTTCGTAACCACAGATGGGTCAAATTACCGTTTTACCCATGTGTTACATCTTGT